GTGTTTTCCAGTCTAGCCTGTTGGGGCACCATGCCCTGTCTCCAATGTCCACCCTCATCATTCCCTGGGGATCTTGCTACTCCCCTCCCCTGCTGTTCCGCTGCACTCACCCCAGTGCTTTGCCTCGGTATGGATCTTATCCTCTCACTGACAGCTTTGTTTTTTGGGATAGGTTTTGACAGGTTTTCCTTGACAGTAAATGCAAGGCCATTTCTCTTCAAACTGTCGCTTCCAGCATGGAGAAGCACATATTTGCCCTCTTCAAAATGAACAATTCTGTCCCTTTTCAGCTCACTAGTACCTAGAATATTCATCTTTAGGCATTCCACTTTATTTTGACCACTTCCCAGTTTCCTAGATTCATGCTGAGATTCACACTCCACATGGAAATGATTAATAGCAGTGTGTGTCTGTTCCTTCTCATCACGAGGCCTGCCCTGACAGCAGCCGTAAGTGCTCCCTCCATGTTGGTAAGGTCAACTCTACTTGAGGAGTCAGTGCTCCCCCTTTGTATTTGGAGCGCCTTCCACCCTGAGGAGTTCGTCTTCTGCTGCTGTACCAGACAGCACTCATAAGGTACATACTGGCCAAATCTTTTCAGAAGTAGATAAGCAGGTCCTCCTTCCAAGTCTGTCTTAGTCTGAAAGTTCCCTGAAATCTGTCCACTATGAGTGATCCTGAAATACCAGTGTCATAGCTTTCAGAATTCCAGCAACATGCAAGCACCACCCGACAACAAACCGATAGATAAACTAGTGGTGGATTACAGGATTGAAATTTAAATATTTTCTAAAAACATATTGTTATAAGTTGCCCTAAAAATAGTTATTTTTAAATGGTTATACAAATTTTCAGACCTTCAGCAATACCCTTCAGAATACTTTAAGGCTTATATTTTTATGTCCATAAATTTATGTCCTACTGTTATAGGAAGCCCTGGTGGTGCAGTGGTTAAGTGCTCGGGTGGGAATGAAAGGTCATCTGTTCAAACCCACCAGCTGTTCTATTGGAGAAAGGTATGGCAGTCTGCTCCAGGGAAATTCGCAGCTTTAGAAACCCTGTGTGTCTTTATAGATCGAGTTGACTGGACATCAAGAGGTTCTGGATGGTTATCATCTTTTATAACCGTCTTGTCCAGTGTAGAGCTCAGCTTGTCAACCGCCTGCCATGAGAACACAATGCTCCTAATTCCTATGGGTCTTTCTCTTCTAAGTTGTTCTTGTTCCCATCCTACATCTCTGAGAATTTCTTGTTTGTTTGCTTTTTGTCCTGTCAGGTAAACCTTGAACTGCTAAACACAAAGTCAGTGGTTCAAACCCACCAGCTTTACAAGGGAGAAAGATGAGGCTATGATACAGCATCTGGGGTCTTGAAGATAAACAAGCAGCCATCTAGCAGGGAAGCAAAAAAGCCCACATGGAAGAATCACACAAACAAACAACCATCTCGATGAGAACGAGGGGGGTCAGAATAGAGACCCAAAGCCCATCTGTAGACAATTGGACATCCGCTCACAGAAGGGTCACAATGAAGGGATGAGCCAGCCAGGGTACAGTATAGCACCGACAAAACACACATACACAACATTCCTCTAATTCTTTAGTGCCTTCCCTACCCCACCCCCTACTATCATGACCCGTTTTAGCTTACAAATCTGATTAGACCACAGCATGTACACTGGTACAGATAAGAGCTCTCGACACACGGAATCCAGAATAAACCCCTCAGAAACAGCAATGGGAGTAGTGATACCATGAGGGTAGGAGGAAGATGGGGGGAGAAGGGGGAAGGGGGTAGCCAATTGCAATGATCAACATACAACCCCGGCCCCAGGTTTTGCCTCAGGAACATGGGGGCAAGGGAGACAGCAGACAGTGTAAAATATGAAAAGAAAAAGAATTTCTAAATTATCAAGGGTTCATGAGGTGTGGGGGGTGGGAGGGGGAAAAGGAGAAGCTGATACCAAGGGCTCAAGTAGAAGGAAAATGTTTTGAAAATGTTGATAGCAGCATATGTACAAATGTGCTCGATACAACTGCTGTATGGATTGTTCTAAGAGCTGTAAGAGCCCCCAATAAAATGATTTATTAAATTTTTTAAAAAGATCACAGCCTCAGAAATCCTGTAGAGGCTCACTATAAGTCAGAATCAACTCCATGCAAGTGGGTTTGAGTTTCTTGATGTTTTGTTTGTTTGCTTGCTTGTTTGTTTTTCTGAACACTCGGGGCAGTAGTTAAATAGCCTTGGGAACCAATGGGAGGTTCTACTATATCCTATAAAGTTGCTTTGAGTTGGAAGCGCTTGACAACAAAAGTATTTTTCTTTTTTAACTAAGGATCACTGGGCTGTGACAGGTGTGTGTGTGCGTGTGTGTGTGTGTTTGTGTGTGTGTGTAACTGAACACTCCAGGCTCAGCTCCCACTCTCCCACTGTGATGTCTTGCTTGACAACCTGCTCCTGGCCCACTCCTGATCTGAATTCCTTGGCTCTTCATTCACCCACATCCGTCATCCCTCACCTGACACATTTTATATGTTATCTCAGCACACACTTGCCAAATGTCCTTTATCCTCATATTTTGCACAGTTACCTCTCCAAATAATCTGTACTAGTGGTTCTCAAGAGATGCCCCGGGACAGCAGCCGCACCACCTCAGTAACAGTTAGAAATACAAATTCTTGGCCCGACCCCAGCCCTACTGAGTCAGAAACTCAGACATGGAGGCTAAGCACTTTGCATTTGAACAAGTCCTCCAAGTAATTCTGATGCTCGTCAGAGTGGGAAAAGCATGGGTCCCCAAATCTCTTCAAAGTGTGTAGTGGTGTTACACACACACACATTATGCTTCTTAAGACCTAGAAAACTGGTTTTAATTATAATTTAATTGGACACCGATTTAGTGCCTATTAGTTAGCAGGGGGGAAAGGCACCTTGGTACCACCGTGGGTTCAACAGCTGCCAACCCTGAGGAACAGTTCTACTCAGTCTTAGAAGGTCACTTTGAGTCAGAATCGCCTCCGGGGCCACAGGGGTTGTTTGGATCTGGGCTGTTAGCAGGAAAGATAGCGGCGTAAATGCGTTCTCTTTTGGCATTTCTTGCAATAATCTCAGGAACTATTGGTACTCCTAATTTACAGAGGCTAAATTGAGACCAGAGACTAGGTTAACTAAATTTCCCAAGTTTCTGCAGCTAGCTCAAATAATAATGTTACAGCCAGGATTAAAATGCAAGCACTGAGACTCCTGTGACTTTTTCTTAATTACTATGATATGTTGCCCTTCATTCTACAATGAAGGAGCCCTTGTGGCCAAATGGGCTATGCACTGATCTGCTGCTGCTAGCCACAAGGTCAGTGGTTCAAACCCACCAGTTGCTCCAGAGAAGAAAGATGAGGCTGTTGGCTTCCCTAAAGATTTAGAGTCTAGGAACCCCAAAGAGACAATTCTGCTTTGGCCTAAGGGATTACTAGGAGTCAGAACCGATTCAATGACAGTGAGCATTCTGCAGTAAAATAAGCTGATACACAGGTCACCTTCTCCATTTTATCATTCATTTTAAATCAGCAGCTCCTGACAGAAATAGATGCCCCCTACTCTGGGAGATAGATGCCAGTGAGCAGAAACACTGAGCATATCTGGATCTTTATAGCTTCGTGATTTCTGGGGGGGGGAAAGGTTCTACATGCTACAGCTGTATACATTGTTTTTGTTTTTTAATCATGGGTTCCTAAGTGGACAATAAGAATCAGAATCCCTGAAATTGTACAAGAAAATATGTGCATGTCCAAAAGGATTAATCTTTTGAATAATTCTCCTCAAATTCCCAAAGGAACTCTGGACCCCAATTTAATAAGAAACACTGTGCTTGTGATTGTGGCACAGAACTAGGAGGACAGTTCAGAATACATGGCCCACAGCTTCTGAGAAGATAACCTGGGGCAGGTGTCAAACTAGCTGCAATCGTGCCTACTCGTGCCTATTAGAATCACCTGATTCCTCACCTGACTTGGTGCTAGAAACCTGTGTTTTAGTGCCATCAAAAGTGCACACTCAGGTTTTAGAGTCAATTTTGTGGCAAGTGGTTTTCCAGAGAGTGCATGAGAATTCCCACAAAGAGCTTATTAAAACACAGATTGCTGGGCCCATTCTTGGAGGTCCTAATTCAGTAGATCTGGATTGGAGCCTGATACTCCTCAAAAGTTCTCAAGTGATGCTGGTGCTGTTGGTCTATGGCCTCCTCTTTGAGAACCACTGTCAGAGCCCAAGTTCAATAATAAAGATGAAGAAATTGAGGCGTGGTGGTAGTTGGGTGATTTTTCTAAGATAACATGACTTATTAGGGAAAAGCAAGAATTTCTTGTCTCAGTCTGATAGCATGAAGGAATATCCTTTTTTTTTTTTTTTTTTTGTAACTTTCGGATTATTGAGGACCTAATCATACATCTACGTGAACTTCTAGGACTTGTGCTATTTATCTCATAGAGTGAAATCATCCAGCATCAAGGCTATCCCTGTGAGGAGTATGAAGTGGCCACGGAAGATGGGTATATCCTTTCTCTCAACAGAATTCCGCAAGGCCTGATGCAACTCAAGCAAGCAGGTATGGTTCACCCTAGGTCAAGCCGACGGGTGATCTTCCCAACAGCAATGATTTCTTTGTGATTTGAGCAGGTACATGCTCTGGGTATAATGTGTGACCCAGTGTTGTGCCCAAGGAATACCTACAGTTTCCCCATAATTCCCATTACTGACACCCATACCCCACCATAGATGATCTCAAATAAACACTTTGAGAAGTGTTTGCTTCTCACAGTGGCCTTTAGGAAATAGCCATACCTTGATTCCTTGCCCTCCGCTTTCTAGCACTTACTCTAAATCTCTCCTAAAGGGATATTCTAGGGTATCCAATGGTTGGGTCCCTTAAACAGCCTGTATCAGCCCTTTAGCTTGACTGATACAAATTCTAAGGTGGGCTCTGGTGCTCACCCTTGAACAAAGAGCACCTTGACAGTTTACAATAAGTTAGAAGTGAGCAAGCTTTTAACTAAGAAAATGTTAAGAGGCGCTTCAAGTTTGGCTTCATGATGTTGTTTATCTTTGCTACATGCTTCCCTAATCCATATGACCCCAATTTTTGTGTCATAAACTTTAATATACTGCAGGTTTAAAATAGAAAGACCATCCTCCTCCTCCTCCATTTCTACTTTGATGCTCTACTCCTTTAATGCTATAGCAGCAAATACAAGTTCATGATCTGTCAGGGATACATACAGTATAATATTTGTATTCTGACCTTTCTCTATGCCAGGCATTATTCTGGATGCTTTCTTTGTAGACCCACTCTATCTCTAGGAAATAATTGTCATTCACAGAGTAGCTTGCCCAGGATGTATGTGCTAGTATGTGGCAAAGCCTGCACTCCAGTCCAGCTCTGTCGACCACGCTAGCCCATGTCCTCAACTGGAAAGTCCCAAGCAGATGTATGCTATTGGGATTTGGTGAAAAAGAAGCTTCGGGTATCTTTCCTCTCAATGTGTACAGCTTTAGGTAACCAATACCGTGTTTACACCAGCTGTGCATGTCTGGGCATGTCCCCACCTTGGCCCCTCTGAATTTACCACATCTGCTTTCAACTGGTCTTTCAACACATCATGTCAAACCCTTCTTTGGACCAATTTTTAAAGAGAATCCTTCCCTGACCTTCGTATTCAAAATAGCAACCCATCTTACATCTTACTTATGGGATCTAACTTATTCCTCTTACTAGTATCTGTCATCATCCGTTATGATATATATATTTGCTAACAGCTCAGACGTAAGCCAACCCCCGTGTTTGTTTCTTGTCTGACTCTCTCAGACTAGAATGGAGTTTGCACGTATTGCTCTCCCTGTGCCTATGAGCGCCTAGCACCCCGTTTCAGTGCAGCAGAGCCGACTCTGACTCAGGCTGAGCGCCTGTGGGTCAGATCCCAGCTGTGGGCTCTGGGGGTTTCCGTCGCGAAATGTTCCCAAGGAGACTGCTGGGCCGTTCTTCAAAGATGACGGGTGGACTCAAAGCTCCAATCTGGGTCAGCAACTGAGCATGGACTTCTAGCACACTGTGGGAGCGAATAAAACACGTGGATTTTACGGACCAATGGATTTTACATAAACAAATGCCTTTCATGGAAACACAGGGAACTTGTCACTAAGCCCCACAAGACCCAGGAGGGTAGACAAGGCATCAGCTTCATGGCATCTCCAGGCCAGGCATAACCCTGCCCAAGCGGTCGAATGTCTGGAGCAGTCCCTAACGGTGGGTTCACTTGCAGCCCCTCTTGGTGGGCAGAGCGTATTCTAGGCATCCTTTTGGGGACCGCTCACAAGTGACATTGGAGTTTGGGGTCCAAGGAAACCAGCCTTGTCCTAGAGGACCGACCCCCTCTAGCGGCTGTCGTTGTTCCTGCAGCTCCCGCGCAGCACTCTCCAGGTGGAAGTGGCCCTGCAGTGAAAGAGGGGGGAAAGATTTTTTTACCCTCCATTCAGCAGGAGGGCTGATCCAGTTCATACTGAAAACAAGCCAGGAACGCTGAGAACTGTCGATAAGTGTTTGATAAAAGCCTTTTTGTCTTACCGGATTAAATAAGCGTTATTTCACATCAAGAAAGAAAATCATCTGGGCCACTTTTGAAAGTGCAGCACTAAACACTTACACACTCACCAGTTGGCTGAATTCTCAATGGGGTCATACTCCGGGAGATTTTTCAAATGTAGGAACAGAGCCCGTTCTGCCACTCAGTGGATCAAACGCACACATACAGTGAAGCGAGGCCTGGTTGACCCCAGCCACGGGAAAGTTCCAAGGAGGCCACTGACCCGACTTGTGTTCCTAATAACACAGCAGAACCACCTCCCCAAGGGCGAGCAGGTTTAACTCAAAGATCACCTTCCTTTGTCCTGGTCCTGTGCTCAGTCACATCTCTCTGGGTCCTACACATTTCTCTCCCAAGAGGGGGATAACGCGGCAAAGGAATATTGCCCACATCTTGGTGAGTTTGTTATCGAAAGCTCTGTGATCAATAAGGGCACGGAATAAATACACACTTGTTTCAGGAGTTGATCTACCCCTTTATAACAATAACAAGAACTACCACTCAGGAAAGAGTGTGTAATGGGTCAGGTGATGTAGTATCGTGTGTAGGCCCAGGTACCCCAATCGCATCAAGCAGGGAATTGTACCCTACTTTTCTGATGCGGAGACCGAAACTCAGACAGTCACTGCTAGCGCTAATAGCAACAACAGTTAATAGCGTTCCTCTTTATTTCAGACTGTAGTAATTGAAGACTTCCTGACTTGCTTACCAGGAGCCCTGGTGGCATGCATAGTGAGCTGTGCTTGGGCTGCCAATGTCGAGGTCAGCCATTCAAACCACCAGGCAGTCCACTTGAGACCGATGAGGCTTTCTATTCTCATAAAGATTGGGTCTCAGCAACCACAGGGGCAGTTCTAGTCCTCTGCCCCATAGGGTTGCTGTGATTTGGTATCAGCTCGCTGGCAGGAGAGTTTGATTTCTGGAGTTTTACTTTCTTACCAGGCTAACCGTGTGCTTTCACTGCCCTCATGGGAAATTAGCCACTTCTAGAAGGAAGAAGACATCCTTATAACAGACTCATTTTATTCCAAAACATGTACCCGTGGAGCCACTCCCTTTCTCTACATCTGCATCTGTACTGATCCATCTCTCTAGCCACCTGCCTTCCTACCTCCTGAAGCACTTTCAAGATCCTCCTCACAGAAGTCTAGACAAGAGGCATGAACAGCAATGCACATGACCTTTACCCATTCTTTCTGTATGCCAGGCATTGCACTACCTCCTCCATGGTGCCCATTTCTTTGATCATAACTGAAAATCACTAGCAAGGAGTTGAACCAAAAGTTCATTATCTGGCACCAGTGTCCTCGCATATTAGAAAATAATGAGTCAGATAGAGACCAGCACAGTCGGCTGACATTCTTCCTTTTGCAGGTTCCAGACCTGTGGTGTTACTGCAGCATGGCCTGCTTGGAGATGCTAGCAACTGGATTTCCAACCTGCCCAACAACAGCCTGGGGTTCATCCTGGCAGATGCCGGTTATGATGTGTGGATGGGGAACAGTCGGGGAAACACCTGGTCTCGGAAACACAAAACCCTCTCCATAGACCAAGATGAGTTCTGGGCTTTCAGGTATCTGGAAATACTGAGAGTAGAGGAGGATGTGGATATCGCTGGCAGCATTGGGTGCCAAATTGTGGTTTCTAGTATTGGGATCTTTTACTTTGGTTGGATCTTCAATAACCTAGCATGCAACCTAAGGGTAGATTACCCACAGGGAAGCAAGGCTTACTTGTGCTTATTGACTCATCACTACAGTGAACAATTTCACATGGGTTGCACACAGGGGTGGATTATTCAATAAGCAAAAGAGGCACAGTCTTAAGATGCATATATTTTTCACTACAGATGAGTTAATAATCACAAGTAGACCTATGCTTACCTTGCATGTTGGTTCATCCAACACTGAAGAAAACACTTCAGTTGTTTTTAACTAGCACATGATTCTAGTGGACAAGCTGTGAGAAAGATTGGGTTCCCAGGTAGAAGGTTGGGTCTATCTAATAGGATGAGATGGGTAATTAGTGATCATTTCACCCTGAAGTGGCCAAAGGCTGAAATAAGAGAAGTGTGTGTAGCTCCGTAGCCTTGTCGGTGGGTATCCTGGGACTGCTGCATGGAATTGTTCTTTAAACCAGAGGGATGACAAGAGCTAGTGTCCCGAAAGGAGATGAGACCAGGACAGCATTAAAGGAAAAAGGGAAACTATTAAACCTAGGGCTAATCAAGTTGACTAAAGCATCTCTCATGCTATTACAGGAAGATTTTAAGTTTTATTTAAATAAACTCTTGACAACAATCTATGCATTTCAAAAGAGAAGCGGCCCTGCAAATTCTTTAATATTTTTCATATAAATATGTCTACATAAATGGCACTGTGCTGTTCGAACAGCATATCAAGACACCTCCATTAGTAAATATTAATTAAACATGATCATCCCTCTCTAATATCTGAAGAGAACATTCGTTTCTGACAGCCTATAATGGAGACATACATCCGGCATCGCGGGTTTGAAACAAGTCGAGCCTGAGTGTCTCAGGAACACAGAACTTGGCTGTTGGGAATTGAATTCTTGCTTATTAACACTTGTTCTGCTTTGGTCTGTTTCTGATTATAATTGTTTTGTATAACTTTGTCTTTTCCCTTTGTAGTTATGATGAGATGGCTAGGTTTGACCTTCCTGCAGTGATAAACTTTATTTTGCAGAAAACGGGCCAGGAAAAGATCTATTATGTTGGCTATTCACAGGGCACCACCATGGGTAAGTTCAAAAGAAAGCAGGTTTGTATACGCAGAATAAATGTGAACATACCACTCACGGAGCTGGCTGGGATCAGTGCCCATCTAGCCTCATGCTTCTCTCACATCTGTCCCTATCCCCTCAAGACTCTTTGGGCCATGAGGAAACAGACTATGTTGGGAGAGGCTTGTGCTGTGGTAGAAACCCAAATGGTGCTGGGAGATGAGCATTGGACTGTTAATGCAAGGTCAATGGTTCAAACCCACCAGCTGCTCTGTAGGAGAAAGATGAGGCTGCCTGCTCTTGTAAAGATCTGCAATCTTGGAAGCTATACAGGCTTTCATTGAGTCTGAATCAACTCTAGGATGGCCGGAACTCAGGACATAAGCTCAGTAGGCTCATTTTTAGTTGATGTTCTCTAGTGAATGAAAGTGATTGACTCGTGTGCTTTCCACTCCTTATTTTTCAATATCGTTCACTTATTCTAGCCCCTTCTTAGAAAGAAAGACCAGACGTCTCTTAAGTTGGGTTTTTTCTTTCTCTCCACTCCACACTTTTTCGTGACAGAGTTGCGAATGATGAGGGTAAATGTATTTTGAAAGGGAGGAGGAGACCAAACGCCAAGGATTCTTTCAGTAGTGGAGAACGTGCACGTGTTTCTTCACATACAGAGAATTATTCCTAAGAGACATTCCCTAGAGTTCTCAGGTCTCACCATCTCAACGGAGTTCTCGCATGGTTAGAAATATGCCAAAATTTCATTGAAAGCATTTTCAACCTCATGCTACTGGTGGCACAGCTGGGAGAGCAGAGTCACACCAGGTCAGTTCATGTTGCACCGACCTTTGCCTGTGCCTGGCAACCTAAACCGATGGAGGAAAAAGTAGAGAAAGAACCAGTCTTCTTTCGGACACACCCGCCTCCGGGAAACTAGAAAGGAATCATGGTACGCTTGGGTTTCGCTGCCCATATGAAGCAATTGAAAACACCATGGCATGGGTCAGGTGTCCTTAGTCCTCAAATTAACCTCGCTTTTCAAAATGTTAAAGAGCCGCAGATATACCCTGTGCAAGATGTGTTACCCTATGAAAGGTGTTCACTTTGGAAAACCTTACAGGCATTTGAAATACCAAGGACATAGCTTCCAGCATCACAGTGACACACAAATCACCACCACACACCGACAGGCAAGTGGTGGCTCAATGGAACAACTCAGGGGTGAAAATCTATGGCTCGAGAACAAATATGCTAGGTGTCCTCAGGAACACAGAATCATTTGCTTCTGTTGTGCTTTTCTCCCCGCCAGAGCTTCTCATTTCATAGAAGACATAAGATAGAGTCACATATTACTCACCTCCATTAGCTCAGGACGGGTTTGTTCTCAAAATGTAGAATAACACCCCTGAGTCCTCTGGGCCTTTAGAAAAATCGGCTGTAGGAAACCGAATGGCCCAGAGTTATTTCAAAATAATGACGTGAAGGCAAGGGGACAGGGAAACTAGAGGAAGGGAAAAGTAACTATCAGAAACATTGAGAATATTCACATAGTGTAAAGAACATATAGACACGATGACACTGAATCATTTGTGTCGAAATCAGATGGGGTCTAAAGTGCTCTGAAACCTTCACCAAAAACATGAGAAATCACCATATCTGTCAATGACCCACATATAATGACGGAAGCACCTTCGGGACAGTGGAGTGAATGTGTTCAGAGCCCTCGGATACGCCGCGTGCATGCTAACACACTTCTCTTCTCGCAGGCTTCATTGCGTTTTCCACCATGCCAGACCTGGCTCAGAAAATTAAATTGTATTTTGCTCTAGCTCCGATAGCCACTGTCAAATACGCCAAAAGTCCTGGAACCAAATTTTTGTTGCTGCCCGATATGATGCTCAAGGTATGCAACTCCTCGGATAATCCCTTGTCTGTGTTGAAGAGCCTTCCAGGCCAGTTTGCTAAAGCATATGCTCTTGAATTCGAGCCCCTTATTTCTTGCCCGTAATGTAATGACTATTGTTTCATGCCACATTTTCACAGGGGTTGTTTGGCAAAAAAGAGTTCCTACACCAGAACAGGATTCTCAGACAGTTTGTGATCTACCTTTGCGGCCAGGTGATAATTGACCAGATCTGTAGCAATCTCATGCTACTCTTGGGTGGATTTAATTCCAACAATATGAACATGGTAAGTGGGTGTGAGCTTAGAGTTTGGGAGTCAAAGGAAGTGGATCCCTGGTGGCAGTAGGGGGAGTAGGGGCGGGGCTGTTAACTTAAGGTCTGCAGTTCAAACTCACCTGTCATTCTCGGAAGGAAGACGAGGTAATCTACTTCCATCCAGAGGCACAGCCTTGAATGGTCTGTGGAGCTCTTCTACGTTGTCCTATACGGTCATGATGAACCAGAATTCACTCAACACCAGGCCGCTTGTTTTATTTGCCTTTGAGTCAAAGGAATGCCATCTATCACCCCCTGGTTCCTTCTACTTGGGGTCTTCTGGTATATGATTTAGACATTTTGATGGTATGTCTAGGATGTGTAGTTATTCCGAGGCCCATGGAAGCAACCGTCAAGAAATCAGAATACTAAAGGCATTGGGTAAATCTGCTGCCAAAGACCTCTCTACCATGTTAAAAAGCAAGTATGTCACTTGAGAAGTAAGGCGAGCACCTTACTCAAGCCATGGCATTTTCATTCGCCTCTTATGCAAGTAAAAGATGGATAAGAAATGAGGAAAACCAAGGAAGAATAAATGCTTTTGAATTACGGTGTTGTCAATCTATGTGTGTTGAAGACACCACATAGATAACTGCCGATCACTTAATGGTATCCCCGTTTCACTGTCTGGCACCCTGTGGATTGGGGTCTTGACTACTAGATACAAAACTTGAGAGCTCATCTAAGTCCCACAGTTATCCATGCTTCCTTACAGAGCCGAGCAAATGTGTACGTGGCCCACACGCCTGCTGGGACATCGGTGCAAAATATCCTTCATTGGAGCCAGGTAAGAGATTTGAGGGTGGAGACACATTTTGCTCATGGCCTGGTCCAGGCTTTTTGGGAATACTCAGAAGATGCCCTTGTGACAGCCAGGAGTTTTCCACGTTTATTCTGATTGGAAATTCAAGTCTGCAGAAGCTCTTTCTACTATAAATTTGACCAAGAGCACTGAAAACTTTGAGGAGAAAAAGGCAATGTTTCATCTAATAGCAAGTTTACTGGGATCTTAAAAGGGTGATTTCAGGTGATCCAAGGAAGACATTTTTTTCTATGTCTAGTCACAAAAAGCGGAGGCTTGAGAAGACCTTTTGCCCACAGTCTCCTTTGTGCAGCTAGGTCAAGTAGTAACTGAAAAGGCTAAGGTAGCACTTAAATTAATTACCATAATTGCCCAAAGAGGTTCTCACAGGAGCCGTTTGTGCTGAAAATTTCACCTGAAATCACAAGAATGAAATACCTGATAACCAACCAAATGACTTGCCTGGAAGGATGTGCAGTTCATTGAAGGTTAAGAATTCAAAATGCTTTCAAGGGCAATGGATTATAACTCACGGAAGCTAAGAGTTCTTTTGAATATGAAGAAGCCCTGACCCTAGATCTGATCATTGTAGATGATCTCATGGACTCTCCGTACTGGCTCTTGACATAAGAGTGCATCAAGGACGAAGAACTGGAGCATAACTACTCATAGGTTAATGCCCAGTTTGTTAAGAAAGAGAAAAAAAAGAGGGAGAGAGAATCTTAATTCAAGCAGAATATTTAAAAGATACTGGCGATTACATCTAGAAATCATAAATATGGGCCCAGTTTAAATCTAATCCTATTCTATTATTATATAATCCTATATATTTTCAGATGTGTTTGTGCATCTGTGTGATATTTCATCACCAAAATGAAACCTTTCTGAACTGGATTGGGTTTGACCCACAATTTCCCAGGACCATGCACAATTCCAGGAGTGTGTCCCCATTCTAATCTATGGGGTTGTGCAGAAGAGCCACATGAATTTCTTGGAGTTACTTCAGCCCAGAAGTTTACCCGAACAGTAAACAGAAGCGCAGTCTTGCCAATGGGTTTCTGTTTCTCCCACGGGTGCAGATTTAGTAGTGCTTTCCCACCACCACGCCACCCTAACCCAGCATTACATTTGAATGTCTTGGAAATTTTCCTGCCCCTTTCAGGCAGTGAATTCTGGGGAACTCCGGGCATATGACTGGGGAAGTGAGACCAAGAATCTGGAGAAAAGCAACCAGGTAAGACAATCCAATATTATTTGCTAGAACAGTGTGAGAAGGAAGGAATGTTGGCAGTTTATTTGAGAGTGCGAATAAAATAAAATTCAGGTCGGATATAACTAGTTGAGTTTGAAACCATTTGAGCTGGGGACGTTCACAGCATCACCAAGAGGTCTCCCTGCTTCTTCAATGATGTCGGAGGCCTTTTCTGACGAGGCTTCCTCTGTGAAGAGGGGACTGGGCGTTCCTAGGGCAAGATGCAGTAGAGTTAGCAGCATTTGGTCGTGGTGGTTCTTAGAAGGTCCGTTGGGAATAAAAGAAAAGGCAGAAGAATGAGAACAGCCGTGGGGAGAAGAGTTTCACGGGACAGACAAAATGCCATTAAGCAGCAGGTGCTAGTTTTGTTTTTGCACTATTAGCTGTGTATCAAGTAGGCAAGGTTTTTGGACCCTTCAAGCCCCAATTTACCTTTAAAATAAAAATCGGTGGACTAAGGAGGCCTGGTGGCATAGTGGTTATGCATTGGGATACAATCCACAAGGTCAGCAGTTCAAAACCACCAGCTGCTCTGTGGGAGAAAGACGTGGCCTTCAATTGCTATAAAGAGTTACAGTCTTGGAAAAACTCATAGGAAGGGCTCTACTCAGTCCCTTATGGTCACTATGTGCCGGCATTGACTCAATGGCAGTGAATTTGGCTCTTGGAGGTGATCTTTAAGAGCTCTCCAGGTCAGACTTTCAAGGGATCTGTAATTTGCCAGTAAAAAATATGAAAAAGAATATGATATGACTGAATGTATAGTCAGCTATCCCATAAAATTAAGCATTAAAGTTGTATAGACTTGGAAAGAGTAAGTGTGCTTCTCACAGCACGAAAAGCAAGAAGATTCGTTAGTGTGTGTATGAAGGTAAACTACTCTTGATTATACAAGCAGAAAGCTGGAGGGAGCGGAGTGGATGCAACCGCACACTTATTGGCGAGTCCCGTATCCTACTTAACACCCCTTTGTTGCATATTAAGATATAAAGGTGAGGACATTGGACAGACCGTGTATTGCCCCTCGGGAACAAGCCACAGAGTCAGTCATTGTTTCAGCTCCTTCTTCGAAGTTTGCTAGAACATGTCTTTAGCGAAAGGCACTGCTGAGAAAATGTTACGTCATCAATAATCCGTGTCCTGGTTTCTAAAGATAATGTGAGCAGTGTCCCCCCAGATATCAAACCCACTACTGTTAAATACATTTCAACAAATATTAAGCTGAGTAGAAAGCCTCGCGGCGTTGTGTTGGCTGTGGTCTTGACAGTACCCGCCGCATCTTTCTCTTGTGGAGTGACTAGTGGGTTCGAATGCCGCAGCCACACCGCTATACCGCTGCACCTGCAGCACTCCTTGTGCACAACGTATACACCTGAAAATGGTGACAGAAACAGAGAACCACACAAACAAGATATCATAAAGTCACAGAAACTTCGAACTAGACGTTGTGTTATTTTGATCTTGTCATCTATAAGATAAGAAAACATATATTGAGCTGGTCCCGTAGAATAGTCTAACGTCCACTCTCTAGGTTAGGATTTAACTCCAAACTCCTAAGGCACCACTCAGGAGAAAGAAGGAGCTCCGCGCTGTGGGGCAGGGCTCCGTGGTGGTTTCGGTGAGGAAGAATGGGCTTGCCATGTCTCGGGAACGTCCTGGGTGGTGCTCAGCTCAAGGGCTCAGGCAGCTAACCTGATCTGGTGGAGTAAGGGGAATTCCCACAGTTCTGGATTCTCTCCTTTGAGTAACAGGACATTTGAGCCAATGTCTAGTTTCTATCTTCCCCTAGTTCAAACTCCCTGAGTTCCCGGGCCATTGAGCAGTGTGTTTGTTTCCCCTCATGGAGAAGCATCCAGCTGGGCCTATTTCCAGGGTTTCATGTGATCACAGAGCAAGAAAATCCAATGCCATCTACTGAAAACATGTTCTTTGGGAATGTGTGAGACAGGAGGTTCTGATGGCTTCCATTCTCCTACCTTTCTCTATAGAACATCTCTAAGTCTTGCCCCAGAAAACATTTGTGGAATTACATCTTAAAAACTCAAGGAAGTTACCTTTTAAAGGCAATTTACGTACAAAATAATTTACCTGCCAGGTACTTTACGTGTCTTCTGATTCAACCTAGTTCCTTATTACAGATACAGTCCTACTTTCATGGAGGAGGAAACTGAGGTCCAGCAGTATAAATCGTTTATTTCTTAGAGGGGGCAACACAAATCCCAACACAGTTTTCTTTGGAGCTGATACCCATGTATCTCCCACCACAACACATGGCATATTTCTGATGCTTATTAGAAATGTAAGTTAAAACTTCAGAAATCCTAAGGCAATCTAGAGCTAAATAGCATTTCTTTTCCCTAGCCAACTCCCATCAAGTACAATGTCAAAGATATGACAGTCCCTACAGCCATGTGGACCGGAGGTCAAGACTGGCTTTCAAATCCCGAAGATGTGAAAACTCTGCTCTCTAAAGTGACCAACCTCATCTACCACAAGAACATTCCAGAATGGGCCCATGTGGATTTCATCTGGGGTTTAGATGCTCCTCACCGCTTGTACAATGAGATCATACATCTGATGCAGCAGGAAGAAATTGATTTTTCCCAGGGCACATGCGAGGTCAGATGGTGAAGTCCCCTGGTGCTGACAAATCTTAGGGACAACCTCATGGAAGGGGGTATTGGGTGTCAGGGCCTATGAGCAGAATTTTATGGAGGTTTTCCCAAATTGGAAATGTACCAATTCTATTTAAGAAAGGAAGAAAAGGGAGGGAAGAGAGACAAGAGACATACCTTCAGATCTCTTGCACTTGGTACTGATGGACATTTAATTATCCTTTCAATTAAACCACTCGTTGGATGAAAATAGGCTTCCTGTATGATCATATATTCTCCCACCTTGAAAGAGAGTCTGTTCCTGACAGCCAGCCATAGACATTCTCTGCTATCAGATAAGCCTCCTTTAAAACATTTATAGTTTCCACTACAAGCCATATTTTTGAGCAGCAAAGTAAAATGACAAACTAGGATAAATATTGATTGAAGTCTTGAATCTTTGGATTGTTTTTGACTTTGCTGACATAAGCTAGACATAACACTACCTCGGCAAGCAAACTGCAATGGGGGGAAAAATACAGTGCAGATGAAATATATTTTTAGCATCTTTATAATTGGCCCATATTTTACAATTCAGTCTCGGAGAAGATGATTTTACAGGATATTTATGTGTTGCTCAACAAGTGCATTATACATCACATAAAGTATGTATATGCATTGTAGTACCCGGCGTCTAGACAAAGCTTGCTTGAGACTTTCTAGCCTAATGCTGGGAGACATAATGGCTAGAAATTTCTGGCCCAGTTTCCTGCTTCTAGAAATTAATAGTCAGGAAGAACATTTTGTATTGTCATGAGTATAATGAAACAAGCCCAGGTATTTTAACCTTTGATGTTGTTTAAAACACTGTCAATCACACCAGCTCATCCACAAATCTATATTTATTTCTTTGGAAAAATCATTAAATTTTCTCACAGTTACAAAGACAACAGTAATAAATTATATGAATAATAGTACAATTGGGTAAAATCGAATCTGACAGCAAATCCAAAGTAGACTGGTATTTACAGTCCATGTGTTTTTCCCTTGCCCCATCAGCTGACAGGTGCTCTGTGACATAGTGGCTACATATTGGCCAGCTAACTACACGGTCAGCAGTTCAAAACCACCAGCTGCTTGATGGGAGAAAGGTGAGATTTTTCTACTCCTATAAAGAGTTACAATCTCAGAAACTCCAGGGCCATCCTGTGCTGTTCTATAGAGTCACTATGAATCACCATAGGTTTGATGGTAGTATGAATCTGCTGATGACTCAGTTCAGTGAAAATAGAGCTTAAATAACTTACTAAAAAGCAGTGGTTAGATCTCTCAAGGTAGAGATCTACCCCAGTCCTTGGCTCTGCATGAGAATGAATTCACGCCGAAGACTGGTTTGTGATCCAAGTGAGTTTTATGAAAGTTAGAAGAAGTTTCGGGTTTACCCCGGCACCCGCAGGGCTCCTCACCCCATGCAGCCTCCCTAGAAGCCGCTCAGAAGGTCACATGATTAGGTCCAGGCTCCTGCCTATTTTAATTATTCTGCTTGGAGGTGTGGTGGAAGACCCTGGTCGACCCCATTGGCTGAATTGAAATTCAGCTGCCTTAGATGGGCCAATCCAGGTGTAACACCCACCTAGGTGTATCACCCCTTCCTGGCCAGAAGCTCCAACTTCTGAGCACTCACAGTGTGCCACTCCTTCTTAGGCCAGTAGCTCGGACCTCTGAGCATGCACAATGGACGCCCCAGTCCCTAAGCTAAACTACCTAACACAGTTAAGCTCAGAATCTATTTCTTCAGGTTCTTTTCCTGACAAAATATCTGATAGGCCCTGTACATGTACATAAATATACATGTACAGAAATACACATAAATTTTCCTGTTCAATTTTTATTAGAACTTTGCTCAGGTCAAGAATAGTAAAACTTTCATTCTTAAAATGGTGCTTATTACTACATGGAGTGTGGGTTCGTTTGTGTATACAGCTGTGGGTCATTCAGACGTGATCTGCAACATCCAATCACACTTTTAAAATGTATTTCTGCTCTTTCATTTGCAAAGTGGCAAGTCATATTTTAATATCCACTTCTATTATTGAGAAGCATATTCCAGATGCTACCTTGTCTCATCAAATAGTTTTATTTCTTGTCAAGATACCCTTTATTTGAATAAAATTTTAAGATATCAATAAATATTTAAAATATTTAAGTTTTTATCAATAACACAAAACTAAAGTTTATATTGGATGTGTATTCTCAAAAGGATCATCAAGATCATTTTCAACAAGTACACTGGTGGTTCAAAACAAAGACCATTTTTACTTATAAACTGATGCCCACGGGTCTAGTAGTTTGCTGGTAAGCTGGCTGTCTGGGAAAAAAACAAGGAAGGAAAGAGGAAGGGAATGAGGTAGAGAAGGAAAACACTGGTTTTGTAGCATTTGCCAATATTTGTGATGCTAACCCTTCCACTACCAACAACTGATGAACGTCTTTGTTGAAGTTGTTTCACCATAGAAATAATTACACATGAATATCTAAACCCACATACATATGCACACAGCTGCATACAAATGTACACACTTGTTTTCTCTTACTACTCAAAGGGACATGAAGGGACCAGTTTGTCCCCTAGGGCATGAAGTAGGCAGGGCCATTTCTTTGTATGTGAAGAGGCTGGGAAGAAAGGATGCCATCTCCGACGCTCCTCTTCTTTAGGAAGGACGTAGATGAAAACCTCACATGTTTTGGCTGAAGTGAAGACTCGCCACTAACTCAGTGCTTCCCCTAGAGGATTGTGGCAACAGTGGTCTCCACAGAGCAAAAGGAGCTAGAAATAGCAAGCGCTTCCAGAACATTACTCATGGCAAACATGATGACCCCCCCATAAATGGTGGCTTCCAGTCCAAGTGGTCCATAGTCCAACAGTCCAAGATGGAGACAGAATCCAGTCTTTCAAATTTGGTTACTCCATCTGTGAGGCCTCACGAACTATGAGAACTTTCTTAGCATTAGTTCAATCTGGGAAAATTTTAATCTCCGGGCAATGTCCAGTGAACTCTCACCATGCTGAGGAGGAAAGAATAGTGCCGTTATTTATGTTCACCCGAGTCAGATGTCACTGCAAAGTATCGATAAACAGTTCCGATGCATTGACTCTCAAACTTAGCTAAGGGCTTTAAGTGGTATTCACTTCCAACCATCACCACCCAAACTAGTAGATATCGAGTCAACTTCAACTCATGGTGATCCCATGTGGGTCAGAGTAACATTGTCCTTCGTAAAGTGCTAATAGCTGATATTTTTAGATGGCGATCACCAGGTTCTTCTTCCAAAATACCTCTGGCTAAACACAAAACTCTCCCTATCAGGTAATAGCCTAGTATGTTAAAGCGCTGCACTACCCAGGACCGTCCCGTTATAGAAATGCTGTTGTTATTTGTTGTGCAGTCTCTTCCTGCTTGTAGAGACCCTACAGGACCATGCTGAACTGCGCCACTGGGATTCCTCTGTGCCAGTCCTTATAGAAACCGATCACCAAGCCTTTTCCTCCTTAGAGCTACGGCGTGGTCCAAACAACAGGCCTTTCTATTAGCTGCTGGGTACTTAACCTTAGCACTAGCAACGTTCCTATCACATTCATATAAACAAAATTGTCATTGAGTTGATTCTGACTCCTAGTGGACCTATGGGGCATTGACTAACTGTCCAATATGCATTAAATGTTTATTAAGTCTGAAGTTGGGCAAGGACAAGGCAACTACAGAGACTGTATCATCCAGGTGAAGGGAACCATTAGCAGGAGGTCATAATGGTGTCCAAGGGTTTCATGGGAGACATAGCTTCAAAAGGGACAGGGGAGGATAAAGTAGACTGACACATATATATGGTTGGCAGCATATCAACATAACATAGTTACCAATGGGAGTCCGGAGCAGGATCCAGGACATAATTGGGACATGTGTATTACGTAAGACAGAGAAGCTTATAGTATTGGTCCAGAAGCTACTTCGAGGCAGTCAGGGCATGACAATGCAACTCACAGAATAGTAATCTCCATCAAAGACACACCCAGGTAAGCCCCTGAGGGAGACTGACCCTCCCTGGGCTGGTCAAGAGGGTGGAAGTTATCCAATTTCCAATGCACTTTTACGGCAAGACTATTCACATCCCTGGTCTACGGTCAGAGGAAATCCTAAGGATGTGTAATCCCCATGGGGACTCTGCAAATGGATTTTGGGCTTTCACTGTCGTCCATAAGGGCTGTGAGCCTTTACACAAGCAGACCGCCACACCTTTCTCCTGTGGGGCAGCTGATAGGCTTTAACTGCAGTCCTTCCAGTCATCAGTCCAGCTCTTAACCATGACATCACCAGGGATTCTATAACAGTGTTAGGATGACTCGCTTCCATAATGAAGATGATTCGGTTGATGGTTATAACGATCAAAGACAAATCATCTACTTTAGCACAAAGCCTAGGTTCAGAGATTATGCTCCTGGGAGAACCTCAGGTGCTACTGGAAGACCATGGGCCACAGATCCTCACCTTATTCTTCATCGTGGGGTCCGCCTGGGCTTCCAGGAGCAGAGGGATGACAGTCTGGTTTTTCATCTCACAGGCATAGTGCAGGGCAGTGCAGCCATGCTGAAACACAGGACAGTCGGGCTCTCCAACAAATACATTTCACACTTTGTAGTTTATAGCAAATAAAACAAACCATCTGCCCATCAACTATATTGACTGTATTTAGTGGACTTAAAATGACCGGTCATATCTGCTCCAGTATGTGCATCAATATCCTCAGTAAAGGTCATCACACTCTCCCTTTGTTCATTTTCATCCTTAAATGGCAAGTATTTATAATATCCTTTCTGGTGCCACTTGAGTTTTATTGACAAATATCACACTCTATATTTACTTCAAATTGAACAAAATTACAAACTTACACAGTCTGCAGCATTCACCTCGATACCAGCATCAAGTAACATCCGTACAAGAGTTTCATTCTGCTTTGTCTTCGATACCTAAACCCAACAGCAAACACAGGAGAAGTCTGTATGAAAACATTGTCTCCATCTTACGTCTAAAACAACTGCAGCCCATCAATCAAGAGACTTCATGTTAACTCAACATCCAGCACTCATGCCTTGCTCTTAAAATGTCCCCATCTGATCCATTCACATCCCAGTGAGTTAAAACTGGTGTTCTTAGGAGCAGCCCTGGTGAAGGTTGAGCACTCCACAGCAAATCAAATGGTTGGTGGTTTGAATCCACTAGCCATCCTGTGGGAGAAAGCTATGAAGATCCGCTTCCATGAATACCACGGACTTGGAAAACTTTGGGGTTGGAATCAACTTGACAATAACTTTGGTTTGGGTTTGGTGGTTCCCAGAGTGGGGTCTTGGAGCAGCAGCATCAGTACTTGGGAACTCAAAGTTAGTGGTTCAAACCTACTAGCTGCATCTCAAGAGAAAGGTAAGGCTATCTGTGCCTGTAATGATTTATCATCTTAAAAACCCTATATTCCATCCTATGAGGTGGAATCAACTCGAGGGCAGTGGGTTTAGCTTGGCTTTTAGTTCCCTGGTTTCTAACTGTTGAATAATCTTAAGAGCAGGACTGTGTGTCAACATATTTTGAACCAACTTGCTGATGATAGTTATGATTCTCTCTTGTAAGTTTTCAGAATTTTCACAGACAAAAAAGTCTGTAAGTAAATAATGGATTTCCCCCATCCTGAAGTCAGAGATATGGAAATATGAAGTACTAAATTCCCGAGATGTAAGCAATTAACTTCCTTGACTGCTGACTAAAAGGTGGGAGGTTTGAGACCACCCAGAGGCATCTCAGAAAAAAGGACAGGAGACCTATTTCCAAAAAACCGTAGCCAAGGAAACTCTTCACAGCACAAACCTATTCTAACATGCTCAGATCCGAACGGACTGTGACAACTGATGTGGTGGCGTGCACTTTCCACACAGTGAAACTTTTTGAGCACTTTTCCAGGAGAAAAAAATCAGGCCATACATTTATCAAAGAGTCATAGTGTCTCTGCCTCTCAGAAATGAAAACATCAACATCAATATGACGGCAATTTGCTATCATTCCTAAAAATCTGTAACCTAATTAAATATTCAAGAAAATAATAACATCTGCAAGTGGCAGATTTTGTTCTGGAGCTTACGTTGGCAGAGATAACTCACTTCCATGATCCACACGAGTAAGTACAAACGATACTGCTCCTGGAGTCCCAGGTTATCCCAAACGAAGATGTCTATGCAACAACAGGCTCTGACATAAGAACCCTGGTCGGGCTGGCGCACGACCTGGTGGGTTTCATTCTGCTGCACACAGGGTCGCCAGGAGTCGGAACCAGCTGGAAAGCAGCTACCCACAATGTGCCATCGGTGGATGGCTGCAGACACATTCTCTCAGAGACCGTGTCATAGTGTCCGTCGTGAGCTTTCAAATAGCAGCTCCGACAGAAAAGGGACTTGCCTGCTGGGCCAATTAAATCCAAGACCGAGAAACCCGTTCACAAGGTGATGGTCACGTTGGCAGTGGGGAAGAGTCCCTCAAAGGACGCGGGATGATCAGGGGGCACTTCTTAGGAGAAAACACTTTAAGAAAATCAAACACTGCATCGAGAAAAGAACCAGCAGAGTGGTGCCCAGGAATTTGTTTTCCCTACAGGAACAAAGCACCTGTTCTTTCTTCAACAATAGCGAGGGCTGTTCTCTGAGGATTTCGTCGGGAAGCCTTAGCCCATCCACCCTACAGCCTGAGCTTGCCCTTGAGATTTCTTTTTGCTCCCAGCACTCAAAGAACATTTTAAAGGAACATTGCTTGAGTCCCCTGAGAACAGCGAAATGGCTGTTTTGACATGGCTTAGATCCAAGACCACAGAATTCATCAGGGAAGCATCAGAAGGGTGGCAACTCGGCCTTCGGAAGGGTAGAGTCATAGATGGAGGGTATGTGGACATGATAGCTTCATATGTTGATAGTTCTGCTTCATAAAATGTTTCTATGATCTTGCAGCACTACTTGTTAACTCACGCTCATATTAGCTATGAGGAGGGAGCGTGGCTATTTCACTGGGTTGAATTGCACATGTGGAAAGCCACCGGGTCAAAATGGAGCTAATCTCTCTGCATTAGACTTAACTACCCCTGTAGATCCCTCAAAACGTCACTATTTCGACTGGACCTTTTATGTGAAGGCACCCTCCCAAGACGATGACAGGTGCCTTGCTGAGAGAACTTGTCTGCAGCGAGCCACCACTTGCAGGGGCGCTCTTAAACCCACTGTTTAGAGCACATGGTGCAACCCGTGGGGCCACAGTAGCAGTGCATTTTCACTTACCCTACAGACCAGGGGCCTTGCTTCTTCCTTTACGCTAATTAGAGCACTGTGTGCCGGCCGCAAATGCCATTCATAAAGCACAAGGACTCGATTTGTCATTACGTCTCCATCTCAGCGGCCAAGCAACGCCGGCTGAGTCATGCTCCCGCCTGATGATGCATTTGCTCTCATGTGTACTCACCATGAGGAAATACCCAATAAGCAGGACGGGCATTAAGAGGATGATGAGTAGGTAATCAAAGAAGGTAAATCTCTTCTTCACAGCATAATGCAAGCAGGTTCTTTCTTTCTAAGAAGTTAAAAACAAAAAGGGGGGGATTTAAAAAAATATATATATATATATATTACTTTTCAATTTTCCCTCTCATATTACCATATCAAAACCATTTCATCCATGCTTTTCAGGTGCTGGTACTTCTGGGATTTTACAAGCACTTATTTCTGTGGGATATGCCTGACTCATAAACTCCGTTTTCCTATTGGCCAGAATATTAAACCCAAGCCCATGTGTGTTCAAAACCAAAACCGACAGAACTATAGAATGGCCCAAACCACCCACACCCCACTGACAATTCGACTCTGTGACCCTAGAGGATAGAGTAGAACTGCCCCAGAGGGTTTCCAAGGCTACAAATTGTTAGGGAAGCAAACTGCCAAATATTTCTGCCCAGAACCAGTTGCAGTTACAAATCACCAACGTGTGGCTAGCAGCAGACCCCCTTAACCACGGCATCACCAGGAGTCCTTACCAAAAAACATTGTCCAGATGAAATACACACTTACAACTCATCTAAATATGGATGCTTGCACTCATTACAGTTCTGGGAGAAAAAACAACTGCGATATAAACGTAACATTGAATGTGGTATTAAAAACTCTTCTAAATAAACCTCACTGTCATCAAGCTGTTTCTGACTCCTACTGACCCTATTGGACAGGGTAGAACTGTCCCTGTGGGTTTCTGAGACTGTTATTCTTGACAAGAGCAGAAAGCCTCATCTTACTCCATTGGAAGAGCTGGCGGTTTTGAACTACTAACCTTTCGGCTAGCAGCCCAATGCATAGCCCATTATGCCACCTGGGCTTACTGTTGTCATGAGGTGCCATAGAGTTGGTTCCTCCTCATAACAACCCTACTAAATACAACAGAGTGAAACACTGCCAGGCCCAGAGTCAGCCTCGCAATTGTCGATATGTTCACGCTCGTCCTTGCAGCCACCATGTCAGTCCGTCTTGTTGAGGGTTTTACCCGTTTTCATTGTCCTTCTACTTTGCCAAGCATGATGTCCTTTTCCCGGGACAAGTCTCTCTTAATAACACGTACTTTTTTCCAAGGTAGATTTGGTTGTTCTTTTGGCAGCCCATGGTACTTTCAATATATTCCTTCATCATATATGGTGTGTAAATTATCTGGTTTGGGGTTCATGCATAGGGCAATCTTAACCGCCTGGCAATTTTTACCAAGTTTTCACACACGTACTGACAATGCTAGAAGAATGCAAATAACTAAGTTGTTCCTTCAACTGTGTGAATACTTACCAGGTGATATATACAAGCCTCTAAGTATTATGGGAGATTGTGGAGCCCCACAGGCTCATAGTCAAAGAAAGGTAGACAGAAAAACACACAAAATAAGTATGTGCAAAACAGCCTGTGGTAATTGGACTACCAACAGCATTACTGACAGGAGGAGAATTTAGAAAATAAATGTTCATTCTTCTTGGGAATATGCACAGTTCTTAAATTTAAATATCTAAATATTAAAGTACATATATACATCGCCTATTAAAAAAACTAGAAAAGAGTGTAAAGATAAGCTTTAAGATAATCTATTATCCAACAATCCAGAGTTAACTTTTGACATTTTAGTGTATTTTGTTCCATTCTTTTAGAATGCATATTCGTGGGATTTTAAAATGTAGGATATGATTAGATTGTACATTCAAAACTAATGTGCAGCTTTTTTCACTTAGTATTTAAAATATGCCACTTCATATGCTTAAGTATATGGTTTTAATGGTTGCATGGCTTTTAATTGAATCTACTTTATTTTAGCAAAATCCAGTGGTAGATTATTTCAAGTTTAAAAATTTTCACTTGTATAAATAATTCTGTCTGAGCATCCTCATTGAATAAGTTTTGTCAACATTTCTAAATTTGTTTAACACAAATTTCAAAAAAGAATTTCTGACATGAAAGATATCAATGTTTTTTATATCAATCATTTGGACTTCCTCATCAACAGTTGACTTCCTATTTTATTCCTAATCAATTTATAAACACACAAGCATGAAGGAGCTTCAAAAAGCTTGTGAAAAAATTTAAATCAAAAGATAATGGGATTCTTCCAGACTGTTTGAAGTGCCCTATGTGTGAGTACACATATATATGTCTACAGATAGACAGCTCTTTTTCAAAACTGATTTCATTTGGTTTCCGTCAAATCAATGTTGTTTATTGGTGCACTCCACTGAATCACCAGCAGAGATTGTAGTTTGCTTCTAAGGCATTTGTTGATTTAGCATTTGTGAAAATAATTCGCAAACATTGATTTCAGAAACGAGAAAGCACTGGCTCAGCTTATTCATATATAAAGAGTAGTTTGGAGAAAAATGAAAGATATTGCCTAAGCATTAAAAGATCCTTTCTCTAAGAGTCACAGCCCTGTTAAAAAGCCCTCCAGGTTCCTGACCCATCAGACAGAAACACAAATCTGAGTGCTTAAAAAAGGAAGAAAAGTAGAAGTAGAACGAACTTCAAGTCTTTTGTGACCTACCAGCTAGGGTCAAACAAACAAACAAGCAGAAAAACCTTTCGCTTCAGAAGTCAGAGAGAGAAAGCCTGCTCTCTCTCTAGCACCCTGTGTTCAGGGTCAGCCCCTCAAGTGTGGAAGACTGCCTCCTCCTCCCCTAAAGCGCTACAGTCTCGGAGCCTCCCAGGGGCAGTTCTACCCTATCCTGCAGGGTTGCTGTGAGTCCGCACAGACTCGATGGCAGTGAGTTTGGTTGGGAAATTTCTGATGGTCAAAGCCACCCCTATGTGTCATTTCTGTTATAGCAGCACCAGATAATTAAAACTCACATGAAAGTAATGCTGTTTACACTATCTTTTTAAATGGTCAGAAATAAAATGCTTGGTTATATACTCTGTTCAATAGTTTTGTGGTCCATGAATGCCTACACCATACAGTTTTTCCAGAGGGTTCTGGAGCATTCTGAAGATCCAACCATTGCTCCACAGTGCCACTAGGCACTGGCACCAGAGGCAGGAAAGCCTGGGTTCTCTCTTTTAAGACTCTGAGGTCATTCTAGAACCTCTTCTAAAGCGATTATTTCTTTAAAAAATTATGGAAACTTCCAAACCATCACCAAACACCTTCAGGGTATGCGCCACTGCGCCTTGGGGCTCAGACTCATCGTCTTGGAAGAATATAACCAATAGAGACAATTTTCTTTTGCAAATAGTGGCTAGGTCTTCAAATAATCTGGGCAAAAGCCCATGAGTTGCATCAAATGTGCACTTGTTCATATCTCCCCATCCAGAGCAAAGAAGAGTGCAGGAAGTAGCAGCTACATGGAGATAATTAGTTCCATGGACTAATCGACCACGAGGCACTTAGCCTCCATTACCCGGAGACCACAACTAGGTAGGGCCTGGCTACCACTACCAAGTCCTCTGGAAGGTATCGTATTAGGTCATACACAGAGAGGGAGAAAAACGTGGAACAGAACTCAAACTCATAAATAAAGATTAGGCTTAGAGGCCCGCTAGAGGCTGGTAGAGTCTCCAGGGTCATGACCCTTGGTCACCCTCAGATCTAAAAACTGAACTCGCCCATGTGTCCCCTTTCAGCCAAATATCAACAAGTCAATAAGGGGAACAAGAACTCTAGGGAGGTAGTCACTCCTGAGAATAATCAGCCGACTGAGATCGGAAGGACGGCCCTTGTCCCAGGACAATGTTGAGAAGGCAGGGGAGGCTGGGAAAGGGGGAGGAATTGAAACCGGAAACACAGGGAGAAAATGGGATCAATGATTTTACATTTAGGGACGGAAATCAATGACACGAAACCAAAGAATTGTGAGCTGTTGCCTGGAAAACTGATTTGCTCTGTAACTTTTCACCAATTCACAATAAAAAGTTTTAAAAATAACAATAATAAAGCCCTCATTTATGGGCCCTTTCAAAATACTTCAATCTAGATGAGCTAGAAGTAGGGAATTTTATCTAAACTCAATTTGTCACGAGTGCTTCACAATAAGAAAGAGGTTTCTTCAACTTCTGAGGAAGAACGGGTCATTTTTCATTTCATTTTCCCGGCAGAATGCTAGTCCTGTTCCTTCGGCTTCTCAGGTCTCCAAGGAAATGACTTAATTACTCAGAATCCGGCGTGGGCTCCTCACCTAAAAACATGACCCAGCCTTTGTCGGCCTCTGCTGTAAATATTGACAATTTGATTAGCTTTTCAACTGCATCCTTTCTCAGCCAAAGCATTCCTGAAATGGCTACATTCTTCTATTCTATAAGCAATATACTATGATAAAAATTTTCTCCTGGAGTTTAGTAAAAATAGTCAAAATAGGAAAAATCTATGTAAAGAGTGTCACCGAGGTCAATACTTTTCCAGGAAATCCTTCTTATAACTTGTCCAATAATGAGGAGGAGGGGGTGGAGGAAGAAAGAGGTGAAAGGGGAGAAGAAGGATGAGAACAAGGGAAGAAACCCTAGCCTGCCAACGGAGTGAACCATTCTCATCCAGAACCCAGGATATCATTAACCATAAAAGATGCCTGCTGATCAAACGATATAGCACGTTGCTTTTTAGCCTGAGACAATACCCTCCATGTGTGTCAACATCTCTAAAGTGATACAGGGGGTGGAGGAAAAGTTGTTGCCATTAGACGTTAATAAGCAATGCAGAAATGGCATCTAACACTTTGCCTGACAGGAGGAGAAGGAAATGGAAATAACTGTGGTCAATTTCTTTCTCCCCTCAAGTGTCACAACCTCACCTGGTTTTTGAGGTTCACGTTAGCATTTCTTCTTAGCAGAAAGGAAATGATTCGCAGGTGCCCACGCCTGCAAGCGCAGATCAGGGGAGTGTCTCCGTTAAAGCCATCTTGAACGTTAATACAGTTGATGTCTTCCCTCACCCAGCGCCACACTTGACCGAAGTCATTCTGATAGGCCGCCTGGCAGATAGGCTGAGTAGAGAAAAGCAAAGACAGGCTTTTAAGTATCTGCATAATCAAACCACCAAACGAAAAAGCACCATTAAAGCTTAAGTGTGTCCTAATCATACTATATTGCTTGAAAGGTGCAATTGTGGTCTGTGTTCCCACCAACCTAAGTCTAGGACAAGCACCGTTGTTCTAAATCATAGTTGTTAAATAGAGGAATGCGTGAACAAATGGGTGAGATACTGCACATTCTACTCAGAAAGGAAAGTGAATCTTGTGTTCCTAGAGAGATGGGCTTGTTAGATCAGCAGAAACTTGCTGATGATGAAATACACATATTGGGAGACGTTTAGCCCAGGCCTTAAAGAGTTGCAAGTCAGAGACTATAAGTCATCAGTGCTTCTAGCATGGTAGCTTTATTAAGCAAACAAGTTTAACCTTCATATCAGTTGTCACTATCCAGAAAGGCCCACCAGTACCTTCAGTGCCTTACACAACTGTTCAAATGTCTTCGTGGTACATGTCAGTTGAGTTACAGGAGATCGGTTCCTGTTACGCTCTTTATCCACATAACATTCTACACCTTTGAAAAGGGAGGTGCTCCCAAATGATGGTGTTCAATCCAAGCTGCATGCTAGAATCACTCTGAGGAGAGCTTTGAAACACTGCCAGTACCTGCAGCACTGGAAGAAAGAATGACCGTCGACACATCCTTATGGTTCCCACAGTGAGTAAATGGAGACCAGAACTGAGATAGGTAAAGTGTATTGTGCCAACCTGGCCGATAAACACATGT